CAGTACAAGATTAATTGAAGGCTCTGGAAGAGCAAACTTATTACTACCCGGAGGAACAAATTTGGCTATTAATGAAGCATTATATTGTAGTAAGTCTCAAAGAAACTTACTAAGTTTCAAAGATATTCGCCAAAATGGATATCACATTGAGAATACAAATAATGAAAAGATTGAATATCTTTCTATTACTACAATAAAGTCGGGTAAGAAATATGTGCTTGAAAAGCTGCCTGGTCTTTCCTCTGGCTTGTACTACACAAACATTGGCAGAGTTGAAACACATGCTATAGTAAACCAGAAGTTTACTAATTCAAATAATTTTATTATTTGGCATGACCGGTTGGGCCATCCCGGTTCTAGCATGATGTGCAAAATAATTGAGAATTCACATAGACATGCATTGAAGAACCAAAAGATTCTTCAATTTAAGGATTTCTCTTGTGCTGCATGTTCTCAAGGTAAATTTATTACTAGGCCATCAGTAACTAAAGTTGGGACTGAATCCCCAGCATTTCTGGAACGTATACATGGTGATATACGTGGCCCATCACCCGCCATGTGGACCATTTAAATATTATATGGTTTTAATAGATGCATCTACAAGATGGTCTCATGTGTGCTTATTATCAACTCGCAATCTGGCATTTGCGAGGTTGTTGGTTCAAATAATAAGATTAAGAGTACAATTTCTAGATTATGCAATTAAGACAATTCGTCTTGATAATGCTGGTGAATTTACATCCCAAGCCTTTAATGATTATTGTATGTCAACTGGGATAACAGTTGAACATCCTGTTGCTCATGTTCATACTCAGAATGGTCTGGTGGAATCATTTATCAAGAGCCTCCAATTAATTGCTCGACCATTGCTTATGAGAACAAAACTTCCTATTTCGATATAGGGTCATGCTATTTTGCATGCAGCAGCACTTGTGCGTGTCAGGCCAACGAGTTATCATAAAATCTCCCCATTACAATTGGCTTATGGTCAGGAGCCAAATATTTCTCATCTTATAATATTTGGATGTGCGGTATATGTTCCAATTGCTCCACCACAACGCACAAAGATGGGTTCCCAAAGAAGGTTGGGGATATATGTTGGATATGAATCTCCTTCTATTATTAAATATCTGGAACCCATGACTGGAGATTTATTTACGGCAAGATTTGCTGATTGCCATTTAGATGAATTAGTTTTTCCTACATTAGGGGGAGAGAATAAGCAACTGAAAAAGGAGATAGACTGGAATGCATTATCATTATCTTATTTAGATCCTCGTACAAATCAATGTGAACTGGAAGTTCAAAAGATAATTCATTTGCAAAGTATTGCAAATCAACTTCCAGATACATTTACCAACCTACCAAGGATTACTAAATCTCATATTCTAGCTGCAAATGCTCCAATTCGAGTTGATGTCCCGGTAGGACAATCTGTTAAAGCATATGAGTCTAAGCCACACTTAAAACGTGGCAGACCAATCGGTTCTAAAGATAAAAATCCTCAAAAAAGGAAAGGAAAAAATGATCAAGACAGTCATAATATGGAGGTAATTGCTCAAGAAGATCCCCGAGACATAACAATTGATAAAACCCCAAAAGAGGTCAAGGTACCTGGAAATAATGAAAATGAAGAGATCTCAATAAATTATGTCTCAACTGAAAAAAGATGGAATCGAAATGATATAGTTGTTGATAACATTTTTGCATATAATATTGTTGCTGAAATAATGCAACAAGATGAGGATCTTGAAC